ATATTAAACTAATCATTGACAAAAAATTTATTTATTAAATTAGGAATCTTGGACTCTCAATAAACAAATTTGAATTTATCAGATTATTGAATATTTTTTTTGTTTTTGTGAATATACTGCTAATTATATAGAATTATAGAAATTCTATTTTCCTAGAGTTAGAAAAAAAGTTGCATTTTCTTCTTTTGTATGGGTAAAAATATTGCTAGTACTAGTTTCATAAAGGCGTTGGTAAATGGTAGCAAAATCAAACTGAATTAGTCCCTTAGAAATGATATGAAATGAATAAAAGAACCATACATTAATAGTTTTTGTTACACAGCAGATCTTCTAACAAATTCTTTTTTAACATATGTACAAATACCTATGTACAGTAAAATTCCCTAGTTGAAAAAAAAATTATCAACTTGACTCAGATGTTTCTAACAGTTTAACATCTGGCTAAATATGTCATGCAACCACTTTCACAATACATGAAAACATAAATATTAGCCTTAAATGAAATTTACACAAAACAATAATAATATAAAGATATTCTTAATAAATATTGAGTCTTTGATTAGAAAATAAACTTTCAGCTATACCATCTTCACTTTTTTGTCACTTACCAGTAAAAAGACACTTCTTTTATTATCAACGATACATTAAATTACACTTTGTAAATTCATAGACACAATGCTATTTTAATGTATATTAGAACTTTAACACCTAATCATTCATTCAAATATAGCAGCCAAAATGTAATTCATTTTTTTAATACCCAGAAAACCACTTTGTAAGTAAGTGTCAAAAATTTTTCAAAATAAAAACCTTCCATTAACAACAGGTCATTTGATTTAACAAAAGTTTGTAAATTGCATGGTTTTGCAGTAATCAACATGGAGTCCTGTATGCTTTTATTTAGTTACAAAAAAAATTTAGTCAATGCAATTGTTTTGACTAAATAAAATATACTTTTATTTAGTCAAAAAATTTTCAAAACAAAAACCTTCCATTAACAACAGGTCATTTGATTTAACAAAAGTTTGTAAATTGTATGGTTTAGCAGTAATCAACATGGAGTGCTGTATGCTCTTATTTAGTTACAAAAAAAAAAGCGTGATAGCAAACAAGATTGATAAATTTCTTTCTACATTTACCAACCATGGTCTTTCGTAGGAAAATTTTATTCACTTTATTAGTAAAATGTTAGTCCCCTTCTGGTGTCTAGTTTGAAGTTAAAAACTGTGGCATTTGCATTTATCTAGACTTTTATTATTTATCAAAAATGGCTGCCTAGAACCAAATTATTAGTTTAAATGCATTTTTCATTTATAAAAGCATTGCATTTTTTCTCCAAAATATTAGCTTCAAACTTTTAATTATAAATAAATATTGATGCTCCGGCCTTACTATTAAAAGCATTTTGACTGCAAGGATCTGATAAATTAATAGACGAAGCAAAGAATTTTTAAAAGGTAAGAGTTACGCTTGAAATCAATGTTTATATTCAGAATGGAACAAACAGTTACACAAAGAAAAATGGCAATGTAATTTGATACTCAAATTATTTAAATTTCCTTCTTCTGTATTTAATGCAGAAAAATAAGATTTTTTTCTTCTTTTAAAGTTAAATTTAATTCATAAAACTGTCAGTGCAATATTTTGTCCCGCAATGGAGAATCATGCATCCCAGAATAAGAGTCGCAACTTTTTTTCACATCCTTCTATGACTTTTAGTGCATTTGATGCACTATAGTGTCTAAGCAAAATAGCTAAGGTGGACTATTAAGTTATTGTTTATATCAAGTTAATAGTAAAACTGTATTTTTAAAAAGATTTCCTGATATCTAAATTACCATGATTAAATGGTTATTTTAGCTGGATATTGATGACATTTTCAGTTGAGTGTGTATAGGCCTCAAAGATTAAAATAAATTCTAGAAATTTAAACATATGAATTGGGTGACCAAAACATGGACCAAGATATGATAAATGCAATCAATCTTAATATAGATGTTGACATTTAAGAAAATTGTACTCACAAAAACTTTTAATTGAACAGTGTGGCAAAAACGTAAAAGTTTTTAGTATCAGATATCTTGTTATTGAGAGTAAAAATGCTAACAATATTTTATATTTAATTAAATGAACAAAATGCCTTTCACTTATTTAAACATACTGTGGTTAGTTTTCTTTTATAATGAAAGCATGAAATTTTCTTTTACAAAGGAAAAGCTGTTTTCAAACTCGCTAAAAATGTAGTTAAAATTAAGTAATAAGATAATTGTGCAAACCGAAGATAAATGTAAGATCAGGAACTCTGAATTGAAGTTAAATATAATAAAAATAACAAGAGAGGTCAATTAAAATTTCTTCAAAATACATAAAATTTTTTAAATGCACTGTTATCACAATATTAAAATTTTACTTTGAAAAATAAAATTTTGAGCAGGATGGTCAGATTGAAATAACATCGTAGAAATACAAAGGCTTAACAGTTTGAAAATTATGTAGCACATAAATGTGACTTGAAAAATAACTAATATATAAAATGCTAACAACTTACATTGAAATCATAAAGGAGTTGTAAATGATTATACAATATGTAAAAAAAGGAGTATTTAATAATGTGTGGAATGGAAAAGTATTCTCTTATACATATTAAAAAACGCAGTGAAACTTCACTTATCCATTCCTATATTTTATTTTTATCACTAAGTGTTCTAAATAATACTTAAAAAATGGAATACCAATATTAAAGAATGCAAATATGTTTTTGAGGAAAAAATTTGCAAATGTTTCTTTGTTTCTAATTCTTTTCAAGATAAATAAGGAAACCTTATTGAAAAATTTCTGGTTAAAATAGATTTTTTATTCAATTTATTGTTAGCTGAAATAGTTAAATAAGTAATTGCTAAATTGAAAAATACTATTTATTAATAGAAATTAATTTTCAGTTTTTCATTATTGAATATTAAAACATTTTCAGTTTTTCTTAAAATTCTTGTATGTTTACAATAGTTTAAAGATGTATGTTAAAAATAAATTAAAGAATAAGTTATAATTATATATATGTTAAATTAAGTATATACTGTGAAACCTCACAACCAGGACACTCCGACAAAATTGAGGCCCTTAATTGAGGATATTTTTTAAAATTTCCTGTGAATAAACCATTATGCACTCCTCTGCAAAGCAGAAACTTCTCAAAACTGATGCTGACAGTCATTTATACATCAAAATGTTATTTTCAATCTCAAAAATAACCTCTTTTTCCATCATTTTTTAAAGTAAGTAAACGTTTTTGCTTTAACCATAACTAAAAAAATATTGTTTAGCCATTTTACTACTAAAGAATTAATTATCTTCCTTTCCCCTCACAAAGAAAAGAGAGAAAGTGATAAAGTTCCAGTGAAATCTTTCGGACAGCATTGATTTTTTCATCAACACAACACAGGTTATGAGACCACACATGTTGAAATGACACACTATAGATTCCCAATTTTCCTTCCCCACTGAAAATTTATTTATTTAAAAATTTTTTTTTTAAACACCCATACTTAATGCAGTTGGGTTAAAAAACAAAGCAAAAATGTAGTCCTTGAGGTGACATATAAATCAACATTTTATTAGACAATTGACAAATGATAGCTAGTGAATAAAACAACTCCATACGTCTTGTTGCATTACAGATAAGTTTTTCCCCTATTCTTTTCTTACTTGCATCATAGGAGGTTTACATTCAAGGAGATATTACACGATTTCCAAATAAATAAATTTGATACACTTAACTTGAGAAAGTGTTATCAAAGGAGATAATTTTGTATATCTTGATGAGAATATTGAAAGTCAAAAGATTGATTTAAATATTGACAAAACTGTTGAAATAGTTGCAAATAATGGAGACTAGAGTGATAATAAAGAAGCTGACACCTAATTGATGCTAACTGAAAAAGTGATGCTTACCTAATCAGAAAAATGCAATTGGCGAAATGATTTAAAAGTTTATCATGAATATATGATAAGTTGCAGTCACTTAAAACAAACTTCTATCACATCTTTCTTTTCAAGTGGGTAAATATCAATGAACATAGTTATTATAGATTATTTAATTATTTCTATATTATTGCAATTTTTCTAAAAACTATTTATGGTATTAGCTTTCATTATTAGAGTACTCACCCCATAAACAGGCTTTTTTCGGTCCCAAGAGTGTCCTCTTATCTGAAGCTTCACTGAATTACATACCAGAGTTATGAATTCAAAAATATTATAAAAATATTTTATAGCAATTATAAATGGAAAATATTGCATTCAGAAAATATTGGAAACTTAAATTCGCAGTTATCAGTATAATAAAATTTTAGTATTTTATGGACAATAAAAATATCCTATTCTAAAATTTTTATATGCTAACACAATAAAATAGTAAGAAATTTATTTTATGTTGCAAAATCGACTGGATATTTGAGTTCTTCCGTTGTAATAAATAGGAAAAAGCTTATTATGTCAAAATCACTTAAAACATATATTTAATATTTTTAAAGATCTGTAAATATTATTACATCAAAATTTAATTAAATTTACCATATTGTTTTACGTGGAGATGGAACATTCAAATGTAAAAAAATTTTGTATAAAAAATGATAGTCTTGCTTGATAGACATTTTACATTTTTAGAACGGACATTTTTAGGCATTTGGACATTTTTAGAAAGCTGTAGGTAATGTCTTTTCTTTAATGCATACTTTTTTTTCGATGTTTATTTTTTTAAAATATAGCTTGTAAGATCTGCCAGAACCAATTTTTTTCTTCTTGTTTTAAATAAAATAACAATGATTAAAATTAAATATGGCAAGAATCTACCTCAAAATATATAAAAAGAAATTCTAACATAATACTATCACACCTTGTTTGAAATTAAATAAAAAGAAAAAAAAAAAAAAAAAAAAAAAAAAAAAAAAAANAAAAGACCACAAGTTCAGTTTGAAATTAAAAAAAAAAAAAAAAAAAAAAAAAAGAAAAAAATTATTTCAAACTAGAAACAATAATACAGATCTAATTAAAAAAATAATAATAAATAGCACAAGCAATAAAATCAAAGAACACACTATGCGTTATTCAAAGAATGTAAAACAGACTAAAAGAATTAAAAAAAAATACAACTTGTTCATTTTCCGATGTTAAATATTCTGTTATTAAAGCGATCGCTGTTCAGTTGAGATTTACATCAAAACAATGCCATTACACGTATACAACTACACTGTGTTTCAAATGCATGATCCAAACAGGGCGTAGAGCTAGCAGCCAACTTGGTTGTGCAATTTAACTTTAAAAATGTAAATCAATTCACTTTTATTTAAAGAAGTGAATTATGACTTGGTCATTTGGCTTGAGAATAAAATAAATGGAAAAAGTTGCTTTCACCTAATTCCGACATTAGAAAACGGCTGTTCACTGTGCGGGTCAACCTAAAATAAAAGCAAAAAAAAATATTAATTAATTATTAAATATATTATAATTAATTTTTATTAATTTATTATTAATTAAAAGTTGTTTTGATGTTAAATAGTGATAATTATTAATATATTTTTTGAATTCCAAAATTTGATAGAAAAATTAAGAAAATAAGCGAAATAATAACATTTATGCGGAATTAATACAAATTCCAATTAAATGTTTCTAAATTACAACAATCAGTAAGCCTTAATCTCCAAATACAAAAGTGATTCCCGAATAGCAAATGATTTGTGAAGCTTTAAACAACATATTTAAAGAAAAATAGAAGCATATGAATTTTTTTTTTTGGTGTTCCATATTCTAAAGAAGGTTAAACAACTATAATGATTCGGCATTCAACGACTTCGAATGTGCCTATCAATGGACATTTCTAACCAAATTTTTTCATGTATTTACTTTTGGGGTTTCTTTGATTACACGTGTTTGGATCATTGCGCAGTTTGACACCAGGAATTGAAGCTAATGAACACAGAGCCAGTTAATGTCGTAAGTTAGAATTTGCATTTATTTCAAATTTTGAGATATTCTTAACAGTATATTTTTGATAGACTTTGTTGATTTAATACAAATTAGAAAGGGCTTAAATAAAACTATTACTCATACTTCAATGCTGATTTCTGTTGGGAGATGTTCTGTCTAATTTACTAATTTAAGTAAAGTTATTGTGGACCTCCAGATCATGAAACTTTGCAGTCTTTTTGTGGCAGAGTATGAGAGCAACAGAGTATGCTCCTCATAACATGTGGTTATTTTTAAGCACATTACGGTGGTCATGCTGTGACACATTATTGGTGACCACACTGTGGTTATTTTTAGGCACATCACACTAATAGTCAAAGATTAACACTAATAGTCAAAGAAGTAGTTTAACTAGATGTAAAAAGTTGCAGATGTAATCATACAAAACTTCTTGTAACAATTATTAAATAAATAATAAAACAAAATCTTTTTATCATTAACCTACATTTGAATAAAATAGTTCAATAAGGTTGTGATGCTAAATTTGGCTGAGTTGAACAATAAATAATTAGATAATGAAATGCTGATAAAATAAATAAAAATAAAATTGTAGATGATAAATTTCTGATCTCTCATCTGATATAACTGTTATAGCTACATTTTTTTTATTGCAATTACCACAAACTAATTTGACCTTCTGAATCTAAATTTGTTAATAAAAAGCAAATTATCAAAAAAAAAAAAAAAAAATTTATAATTTTTTTAAATTTATTTGTAATTTAAATTAATAACTACCACAAGTTATAATATTTTAAGTTAGCCTCTTAAAAATAACTAAATAAACAAATAAATAAATCAGTATAAAGAATAATCACAACATTACACAAAATAATTTACTCTAAAAATTTCAGGATGCAAAACTCAACTTCAAATTAAATAATGAATATTTACTTCCTTATTTGTAGCTATAACAACTAATTAAACATTCGGTGAGGCTTTTTAATAGGTTTTATAAACAACTACTCATAAATTAAGAGTTAAGCTATAAGTTTTATTCTTTCAAACTAGTTATTACTTTAAACGAGAACAAAATAACATATGTTATTTTCTTACATTTCACGCATGATTTTTTTATTATTTTAAAACCAAAATGACATTCTACCATGCAATTAGCAATTGAATTTATACCAAGTCTTTCCATTCGATAAATTTTATAAGTGGGGTAAACATCACCAAAAATTCGTTTCTCCAACAATTTTTTATATTGTACAAGAAATGATTAATTTTTAAATACACTCTTTTAATGACTGCTACATAATAATTTCACCCAAAACATCAATTTTAATTTAATAACTAATACTTACTTAATAATAAAAAGAGTTAATATATGTATTTTTCATGAGAGGAGGAAAGTAAAATGGTAAAAAAATTTCTTTCTGATGGAATTCAATATTGTTTTACTATTCCTTGGTTAATTTTTTTACTGAATTTTATCAAAATTTGTAAATTTACACATTTTGAATTAAATTTTACTGATTAGTTTAAAAAAAAGTTTAAAAAAAAAGTGAAGCTTTAAAAAAAGCAATTTTCTTTTCATCAAGCTCTTACTAATAAAATCTCTGAAGAAGTACTTATTTCCATTGTAAAGCATGTCAGAATGAGTTTGAAAGATATATATCACTCAAATTTAATCACTTAAAATAAATGGTAAGAGAACTAATTTTCAAATAAACAAGTGGATTGATATAATCAAAGGAAGAATTGTAAAGTACAGAATTTAATATAAAAATTAAGCAACTATGAAATTTAGAAATAAATCTAACTGCAAAATCAAATTTTTTTTAAATTAAAATTATCTGACAGGGTTCCCACTCGATTTGCGAAGAAAAATTCCCTGACTTTTCCAGGTAAACTTCAATGAAAATTGAGACCACATTTTCATCAGAAAACTTTGATACTTTTATTTGTTTTGTGAAATATTAGATTTTCTGTGTAAAAAAAATATTAAATAAGGATGGGAACATTTTAGTTTGACTAAAATGTGAAATTTTTATAAAAAATAATTGTAATAGATGCAAGCATTATTTAACTCGAATCTTAGTAACTGACTGATAATTTTAAGACTGGTTATTTTTCAAGTATGTTATAAGAATGTCAAAAAATTGCTTATTTTCCAAGTATGTTTCAGGTTTTTGTCAAAAAATTGCAACCTTCCCTGATTTTTGGAGTAAAAATAAAATTCCCTGACAATTCCAGGTATTCCCTGTTCTCCCTTACCCATGGCAACCCTGATCTGAAGAATGCACTACACATTGATATACAAACTACATAAAAATATCTCTGTATATTAAATATTGAAAATAGTATTTCCGTCAAGATTTGTAAAGTGGCAATTTAATATAGAATGTGAAATAAAAAGAACTCAAACCTCTGAGTATGCAGGAGGAGGTTGATGATGAAAACTGTGAACATACGCATACATGGGTGTAAAACGTGTGTCCCCAACAATATTGTCGTCATCATCATCTGCAATGTCCACAGAACCTTCGATACACTCTGCATAGGTAGGTGGTGCTGTTAACGAAATACAAATTTACTAAAATACATCTTTTTGCAAGTTCATTGTCCTCACTAATCTTACTTGCAAAAGAAAAAAATTATGATTTTTAAGTAAACTTAGTACATTAAATAGTAAAAATATGCAACATTTATTTCTCATCACATAACGACTGACAGCTTAAGTGTTGAATTATTAATCTATAGTTGAAAGAATGAAGCAGAATATTCAATAGCTTAAAATGTTAACATTATTACAAATTCAAACATTATTATAAATGAAATAGCTGCAATTAAAATAGCTCAGATTTAATTATGGCAAACAAATTTACATTAGATATTCTAAAAATATTTTTTGTACTTAATTATATTTTGAGTGAATTTAAAATCTACCTAAAAAAATAATAAAAGCTTTATAAAGCTACTTTCGTTGAAGTTTTAAATCTAATTATTACAACAATATTTATGTGTAAATGTTACAAAGGCGTGGATAGCTATTATTTTTCAATTCAAGCAGACCATGTCAGGTAACCAACTTAGCATTCTTCAAATAAATTTCAGGCTATTACTACTTTTTAATATCCCAAAAGAGTTTTTTTTAGGATGCAGCACTATAAACTAAACAAAAAAAATATATGCATTTAAAATGTAAAAGAAACACTATCAATTGCACACATTTTATTAAACTCATTCACTTATAAAAAAATATAGATAAAAACAAATTGGGAAATTCATCAAAAAAAAAATTATACCAAAATTTTTTTTTTCCTAATTAATAATGTAAGTAATTAAGGATACAGTTTTTTTTCTTTAATTTCTTAAAAGATATTGATAAATAGCATTGACACATTAGCCAATTTTCTGTGAATAAAATGGATAAAGTCTAAACTGCTAAATCATAAAAATGGTTTAATTATTCACAAAACCCTTCTAGAATAATTCTTGCCTTTAGTTGCAGAAACAACCTTAAATTTTTTCCAACAGGGTGCATAGCCAAATCTTAAAAATAAGCACCTTTTAAGTAATTTTTAAGCATTAAAATTTTTTTAAGCACTATATACATAACAAAATACAAAATAATTTTTAAAGACTTTACATGATCATGATAAAATAACTAGTTTTTGACAAAGGATTCCTTTCTTGATTACATTAGCCATCATTAAAAGATATTTTTCAGTTTGATTTCAGAAATGAATAAGAATCTCTTGCAAAATGCAGCAGAGTTGCACATAACAGTGCAAGAATAAGCCCCACTGAATCCAGCTCAGTATAGGCAAGTGCGGACCCGTAAGTTTTTCATCAAACACGCAAAATGATTGGCGCTTTCATATGCTACGGAACAACGGTATGCCGAAATGCATCGTGTTTGAATGAATTGTGAAAACGCTGAATAGAACAATGTGAAAATCACACTTTTGCATAATATGTGGCGAAAAATCGATATGGTAAAGAAAAAATAATCCTGAAAAAGGAAAATTAGACACTTTTTAAAAACACCCAATAAAAAAAGCACCTTTAAGGGCTTTAAAAAAACGAAAATAAAAAATAAGCACCTTTAAACACTTTTTAATAACGCTATGCACGCTGTTCCAAAGAAAAAAAAAGTCACCATCTGCCTGAATTGACATGAAATAGATCAACAGAAAGAAAAAAAACATACGTTCACTTGGAATCATTGACAAGTCAATTTCACTGTATGGTGGAGCAGGCTGATAGTACAAGTTACCACCAGGTTCTCCGATATTATCTAATAATGGAGGTACTTGACGGTAGTTGATAGGGCGTAATGGTACGGTTCCAATGAGAACTGGCAAGTCCATACTTAAATTATAAGCACCGGGTATTTGAAGGGATATCTGAAACAAAAGTTAAATAATTTTATATAAGACATTACAAATTTCAGTTACTAGTATTTTTTTAAAACTTATAAGTAAAAGACTTGTTTAAGATTAGGTGCATTTAAGATTAGGTACATTATTTAAGATATTTCAAGCATCACACTTAATTAGTAACAAAAGAACAAGAGCATGTAAATCTGAAAACAGTGAAAAAACTTTGTCACTAACCGCTGTTAAATGAATAAATATTTGAATTTGAAACATAACAATCAGTATTAAAAAAAATGAATATTAAAAAAAAAGTTTAGTAACTGTTGAAAAAGTTATTGAAAATCAATGAATTATAGATTTGATATGAAAGCATCGAAAGCATAATTTTCAAGCCATAATTTTTGGAAATGATAAGAAATAATTTAAGAACAAACAAACAAAAACAATAATAACAACACATAAATGAGATTAAAAATGCAAAAAATTTATAATTCATATCATGATAAAAAAATATGAAATTTTTTTCTTCTTTAATATTTAGTAAATTTAAATTTAATATTTGAATAATTTAAAAAAGTAAAATTAGTTTTAAGGCATGTTTTTTCATAAGATTTAAATACACATACAGAAGTGTAACATCTTAATTTGACCTGCATTTATTGTTTTTCTTATCCATTATTTCAAATGGACAATATCAGAATGACTGAATAATTTTGGAAGTTCATTATCAGTGCAACGAAACATAGCACGTCTATTACTAATTAAAGAAATTTGAAGGTACAACGTCAAAAATGATCAAGTCAAATATGTAATAATGTTAAAAATTTATATCTAGAAGTTTTATAATTTCATTGCCATTTTTCTACTATGTGACTTGGTCAGGTTTGGTATTTAATTTTATAACCGTCGTTGAATAGCTGATCCAATTGTAAGTTTGTGACTACGTAGCCTTATAATTTTGAGCTCAATCCAAGACAAAATAAATTCTAGATTAAGGTTTTAGGGAAATTTTGCCTTGGTGGAGGACTTTTTAATGAAACTGACTCGCATTTGCATAACACAGAGAAAACCACAAAAATCTCCTAAGTTAGCCAGACGGTAAGGAAATTCTAACTCAGGATTGTCAACCATTAAGAAGGTTTTATGTCAGCACTGTGGTTAGTGAGAGTCGGGTGCAGCCATCTCTAGGATTCGAAAAAAGTATATATTTTAGTACATATGTATCTCAGTATATAACATATACAGTGGAAGCCAGTTTTACGTTGTTCGTTTTGTACATTATCTAGCTTCCTATGTCATTTTCTGCTGGGCTTTGAAAATTGCCAATAAGGATAATGTTAAATATTCCCGGATTTTATGCTAGTCTAATTAAGAAAATCCTGTTTTATACAGTTTTTTAACAAATCAAAATAATTTTTTCTTAAGCAAAACCTTCCTTTCTTGACTAAAAAAAATTTGAGTTGTTTATAAGCTTTTTGAAGGTTTTTCCACATTCTTTTTATTCTATCTTATTGTCCTTTTGTCTGCGAGAGGGGAAAGGAAATAGGGAAGCTTTAATTGTTAAATTTGCAAGTGGAATATTTTCATACAAACTTCAACCTTTGAATTTTGCAATTATTCAATTATTTAAAGAATGTTACATTAAATAAATGGTTAGGTACTCATTTAGTTAGGCAATAATTTTTTTCTTTATTCCGATGACTTACAAGATGCTTCTAAAGCAAAAATAAATGTTTTGGCAGTCCTGAATTTGATTTCTACATTGTTGGACAGTGTCAACTCAAATGCATTATAAATGGGCATAATAAGGCTTCATGCGATTACTTAATTGCTTCTTGGAATGCAATAGGAACAATGGCCCTTAATAGAATAAAATTGCATGTTTAAAGATCTTCCGAAGTTGATAACACATATATCAACTGCGACACACATTCTATTACTTTACAATTCTTTTAATATCTCATTTAATACCTGCTCCCTATAACAGTGATGAAAACAATGAAGATGAGAAAAATATTGAAGGATATACCCACAACTGATTTAGAGTTTGAAAGTATAAAAAATCTCAATCCAAAAACATGTAAAGATTACACATTACACGTTTAAGAGATTACACACTACTTGTTTCCGAGGTTACACACTACTTGTTTCCGAGGTTACACAGTACATGTTTTCAATATTATACATTACATGTTTACGGGATTGCATGCTGTAAATGTAAATTTTCGAAAAATACACTTAATTTTTTTCACTGGGATTTTACGTTATCTTGTTTCACACGTTTTTAATGCTAGTAGGACAGAAAATGCAAAATTGTGGTTCCACTGTATATGTATCAAAGTAAAAAATATATTCATAACGTATTCTTACTCTGACAGCATAATCTACCCTTATTAAGCAACAGTTGATAATTGAAGGAGTAACAGCAGGAATTTTTAATAGCTGAGCATCCCAACTTGTAGTCCTACCAGGCTGAACAGCAAGACCAGTAACTATGGTATATTTGCTGTGCCTAGTTCTTGACTTTCCACCAGCCAAAAAAGTCTGAGTTTGGTGAAGAGTAGCATGTGGTATGATAGTTCGACTGGAAAGATTTTCAAAATCTGCAGTTATGGCAATGGATTCACCTGGAAAGCAATAACATTTTTTAATGCTTGCACAGGTTATTATTTCATTCTTAAAATAAAAAAGCAAAACAGATCAATTTAAAAAATTATTAGCAAAGGTAAAATCCTAGTGTATGCTACACGCTTGGCATGATTTTGAAAAATGTCGCCAACTTCTAATGGGTGATCATGCATAGCTCATGACGTCTTTTTTCATCTGTAGTACTAGAGTACATAAGCTTCAGTTGCAGATGGTTACGGTGTATTCCTACTTTTTGTTGTCTATTTGTTACTCTGTTTATCAGAGTATAATGTGTCTGTTTTTTTTTTCTTTTTCATATTTATTATGTTTTAAAATATATAATTTTTTCCATGGACACTTTGATTCGCCTTATTGAAAGTTAGTCTTTATTTACATTAACATTCTTGAAGTTATTTCGGCTGTCAGTCCTCTCAAACATCGCCAAATTCAGTGTGTAATGCATACTAGAATTAAGACTTATAAGATTAAGAAAACTTCAAGACATGATAAAATCAAATTATTTTTACAGAGATAATAATAATTATTTTATACAAAAGTATGTACCAAAAAAGGTAATGATCAATTCATAATAGTTAGTCTACATTCAAAACAAATTTATGAAACAAGTCAGTGCAATAAAAGTTTTAATACCATATTTTTGGAGGTAACAAAAACAGGGAGAAAAGGATTTTAAGCCATGCACTAAGTGTAGGGCTGTTTTCTCAATTGGCTTATATTTTAGAAGTCTTTACTCAGAATCTATCTTCTAAAACCTATCACAAATCCCTTAGGCATTGCTTGATAATTGAATTCAGCTAGTACTAGCAGCGTTTTCAAAACATAACCTCTTCTTATACTTTTTAAAAGTTATGGACTTGTTATAATTTAGATAGACCATTTCAGGAATCAGGCACAACAACAGTAACTGCAAGTTTATGTGGTGGAAATTGACAATGACATCCAACGTGCATATTAAATTTGATGGTAAGCTGAAGAGCAATGCCCAATAAAATTGTTTTGCAAGGAGACATGAATGAGATTAGTTAAAAGATTAAAGGATCCTCATAGAAAAAAAAAAAAAAAAAAAANAAACAAAAAAAAAAAAAAAAAAAAAGATCAAGGAGCATTGCCATGGAGAAAGCAATAAAAAAAAGAGAAGAAAACTACAACCAAAAAGTAATATCTAAGAAAAGAAAATGCAATGAGTACATATAGTAAAAATAAAATGGCCAATATGTAAAATAGGTATAGCTAGTTTAAACAACAACAATACCAGGACAATAGCCTTTTCGATCTGTTCTTGCATATAATGAAATTGGCCCTGAAGTGCAACACCAACAACACAAAACTTTTTCCATGTTGTTTTCAACTGGGACCTGTTAAATATAAGACTATGTTTATTTAAGAATATCAGAAAACTGCACTGAAATTAAAGTAAACTAACTTTTTTCATTTAAATTAATTTCATGCATCTCAATAAAACTCATAACTTTTCTTCTTTAGCTATTAATTTCAACAAATTTATCAAGCAAATAGACACAAGAAAAAGAGTTCTATAAGAAAATGTAAATTTAAAATTAAATATTGATAACTATTTATCTAATTAAGCAGTAAATAAAAAAAATTATGGAGCTCTCATTTTTATAGATCGTTCTATCTCGTTCTCAGAGACTTAAAAATATTTTCTTTTTTTTTTCAAAATAAATAATAAATATTTTTTTTTTTACAAAATTAGACATTTATTTAATTATTTGATGCAGAATCAGCTAAAAAAAACTTACCAAATATTCATTTCGATTAATATCAATTGGACAAATAACAGTAAAAGCTTTCTTGGCTTTGTGGTTAAAAGTCCAAGGCTTTTCCATCTCTGCTTTCAGCCAGTATCGTATACTGCCATATTTTCCTTCAAAGGATGTAGAAATCCCTCTGAAATTTCATGTAATTAAGATTTTATTTTGCAAGTCTAATGTAATAAGTACATAAATGTACATTTAATTTGCAAGTCTAAAGTAATGAAATGAGAAAATTTCTAAACAAAAAAAAAACTGATATTTTACCTCTTACTGCGATGAATAAAATTTTTAAATAGTTGAATTTTATTTAGACTTGGCAAATAGATATTTATTCCCTAATCTGTTCCCTAATCCCTGACTACTTTATGGCCCAAGTCATAAAGTAGAAGATCCAGATAACACAATTCTATAAATCACAATTCCTCATAAACAGTGATCTTTATAATATATTTGCATTGCCATGTTTATAGTTGGTAGGTTTAGTGATGTGTGAAATGTACTCTACAACACAAAATCCTACGGAATGCAAAGACTCATCTATCAAGGTTTGCATTACAAAGAACTTTAATTGTATTATAATACACTTAATTAATGAAATGAAACAATAAACCTATTAAATTATAAGCATAAGTAATAATTTAACACTAGCATAATAAATACCATTAATACAGACATGAAAGTGGATAAAGAATAAAAAGCCTGAGAATATCTATCAACTCAAATCAAGAAAAAAAAAAAAGCGTGTGAAACTATTTTGCACAAAAAGAAAGCACTAAAATTACTACACAATTACGACAGTCCAACAAACTGTTAAGTTTTATATAAAAATCATGATTATAGAGAGCAAAATAATAATAAAGCAAAACAACAAAATAATGCAGAAATATTAAAAATTCCTCGAATGTTTAGAAAGTTGAAATGTTGCCAGAAGTTGGACAAATCTCATGCCAGTTAATTATATAAACTATAGCGTATATATAAACTTAAACTTTAGTTAATTTTTCACTAGATTTGTTTGTATTTCACAAAATAAATTAAAAAATTATAATATTAGGTTATAGCAATATTTGACCCTGCATTGGATACAAAGTTTAAGGGTCCTTGAAACGAATAAGTATGTACCCTTTATGTTCATTACAAACTATATGCTATAATTACCTGTCTCAAGACATGGAAATATTCTAATACATAAAAACATTCAGAAAAAGAAAACTTATTCGTACCCAGATGGAAGCTGAAAGGAGAAATGAAATTCATGTCGACCTTCAGTTAGAACTTCACGCCCATCTCCAGTTTCTAGAGATAATAGAAACATAGAAATTTATTATAATCAATATATAAAAATGACATAAAACTGATATGAACTTAGAATATTTTAACAGAGCAGAATTAGTTTAGCAATCAACACACAAGATAGACAGATTACAAAAGTGTTTTTATTTTTTTAATACTTTATAGCCAACCTTGATTGTATACTGGTCAGATGTTTAATAGGTTGTTAGGATCTAACTTACCCTTGATGAAACAATATTAATAATTGTCTACTACGATGTAAATTTGTGATACGCTAAAAAACACTTTTATATAAGTAGTACTGCACAAGTTATAAGCATTTAAGTAAGGAAAGAAGCGTATCACAAATTTATCGAATTAACTTACGATATTGACAAAGAATATTCCCTATGCATACGTAGCAGAAACTCTCGAGCACGGCAGCGGGCGCTATAGATTATTAAAACTGATGTAGATTATTATTTTTTTAATATCTAAGGCTTCTTTTAATTTTTTGAAAAGAAAACAAAGAGTTCTTTTCAATAACTCTCAAACTTGTCTCTTAAAAATTAATAGCCTGAATTAAGACTAATTAAAACTACTAAGAACAAAAAGTAAAAAAAAAGAAAAGAAAAATTAGCTATTTGATTTCAGGCATAAATCTCCATATCTAAGGATATATTCCATATTATAAGCATTATTGCATAAAATTAATAACAAAGTCTTTAATGTATAATTTTAAGGAACCTATTTTTGCAAATTTTACTAAACATGTATGTTTCATTAAGACTTTACCTCAATAAATCTTTTCATGGCAAATTCTGTTTTTACCTCCATTGAAGCAGTGTTTTCATCATAGAAAAAAAATGGGTGAGAATTTCTCACCCTTTCTCAAAAACAGGGTGAGATTTCAGAAAGTTAAGTAAGATTTCTAAAAACTGAAAAAATACAAATAGACTTGAAAAAAAAAATTTCTTTCATTATAATACATTTTTAACGTCTTCTATTTTTTAAAGCATTGAATATTCTTGCTGCATCATCATAGAAGATTTTGCCTTTACTAGGTATTTGTCCATCTTACATTAGTGCATAAAAAATTTGAACGTCTTACATGAAAAAACCTTACCTGCAGTAAACACGTGGTTGCAGAGAAATGTGTTCTGAAAGGGGTTCCGTGGTTCGGAAGGGTTGTGTTCTGTTGTTCGAAAAAGTTCTGAACAATACTGGTAAATAGGGAAGCTAGATAACGGGGCAAATGTTGAAAATAATGAAAGATCCAGGAAGAAAAGTGAAATGGATTTTATTCTAATTGGCGTAATTCGAAGCTTTTTCCAAAATGTGAGAAATTCGCGAATTTTGAAATTGATTTATAGAATGCGCAAATTTTTCGCGGTAATCATTTTTTAATGCGAGAAAAGAAAAAAACATGCGAGATTCTCGCGTTGTAGTGAAAACACTGATTGAAGTATTAATATTTAAAGTTCAGAGAACAGTGATTTCAGACATATCTAGAGTAAGCTATAAAGTACTAAATTTTGAAAAAATATTTTCAAAATATCAAAATGAAAAAAAATTATTGGAGGGGAACTTAACAGCACAACGAAATCCTATTATAATTTGTTTGCATTTCGATATTTTTAATCTTTTTTTTAGAATTTTAAACTTTATGGTTTACTCCAAATATGACTGAATTTACTTTATTAAATTATTTATGGAGGTAAAAGATAATTCGGTGTAAAGGATTTCTCACATGGCATAGTGCACTCTTAAGCTGAATTTTTACAATAATCTCTGTCTGACAGCATTAAGCTTGCAGACACATCTGATTTTTATGAAGATAAAGTTGCACATTCACTCTGTAAATTCTGAAATAGAAAAATATTGCAGAAGATATATCTAAAAAGTACTTTTGATGATTCGACACTGACAAAAGTATATAGACAAACATAACTCTCAGCACTATTATGTGTAAAATTATATACACTTATGGTTATTTTACAATTACAAATATGTAAATTATGGAGTAACTTTAAATCACTAAACCTACAGTTTAGTTCCATTCCAGAATCTTTTTGAGCTATCGACCACAAAACTCTCTAGTACTAATATCTTTCTGCATGATGCTCTTAATAATAACAACCATGTATGCTACTAGTTAAAAATAACAAAAGCACTGTGTTTACAAAAAAAAACATAACTTTTTTAAAATAAATATGTAATAATTTTTGATTCTAAAGTAATAGGTGATTTTCTCGGAAAAATTATTTCCTTCCTTGCATTTTGCCAATAATCATCGCAATAAAGAAAATCATGAAATCCCAAACAATAATTGCCGAAAAAAGATCAACAACGAAATCACGCTAATGGGACTCTTCAAATGTGCGTTTCGTTTTGAGATTAGTTGTTGTAATAAAAAATATCGGATTTAAAAACTATGGTGAAATCAACAGCAATAAGTGCCAAAAATTCGATAGAATTACAGCCTCCTTAAAAGCAAATACTCAAATGCCCGATTCAAATTTTCCATGTTGTTTGAAATATAATTCAGGTGAAAATCAATATCAATAACTGCCGAAAATACACCAATTTATGATACTACAGTGTAAATTGAGCGTGTCAAAAAGTTATTATATAAATGCATGATTCTAATATTACGTGTAAATTTCTGTAGAAAATAAATGAAATTTTTTTTTCACTTTTCAAAAGAAAAATATTTTTGCAAGAGCTCTATAACGTTCTGCGACAATGTTGCCATGATTTTGAAATGGGGATAATGCTAGCAGTCCATGTTCTAGATATTTCCACTTTCCCAACATAAATTAAATGTTTTAATAGATTACTATTAAGATTTAGCTTCAAGAGGGAAGGCGACACTGTCATTGCTTGAGCAGAAATGGGCATGAAATCTTCGTAAATACTGAACAGTGGATTAATAGCAATGGATCATTGAGTAGGGTAAACTTATAGACATCATTATAAAATTTTTTTCTCTAACACCAGAACCAGGCAGTTTCACTTGGCAGGAACACGCACACCAATGAGAATAAATACATATAAGAAAGAATAAAAAAGATTCTCAAATCAGAACGTTCCCTCAAAAGAAGACCAGGGAAAATGGCCATGATCTGAGGCAGTAGGAACCACTAAGTCTTGGTAACTCACGAAAAGTGGCTTCCAAGAAACTAAAAAAAAAACACATCACAGAAGGGGTTGAAAATGACTAACCCGAAGGGTATAACTTGTAGCCAACAGCGGGTACACCTCTACAAGATATTTTCTTAAAAAATTTCAAGTTCAAAATCTATTTGGCACCATTGCAATTGGCTCGATAGATGATGATACGGAAATAAACCTGTGGAGTAAATGAAAGGGAATAAATTGTGGCCACCCTTTTGCTAACTATAACATAATTTCTTCTTTAAATTTTAACAAGTTATTAAACCAATTGGTGTTTTGGAGATTGTAGTTAGTATGAGCAGGTACCGATATGGTAATATCTCCCAAAAATGTAATGAATTTTATTTCTAATTTTTGTCAAAAAACTTCTAGTTTTTGTTTGTTATTTCGAAATTTTTGTTAGAGAACGGTAAAATATTTTTTAATATTAATAACATAAGACGTAAATAGACGTTACACCAAATTGTTCACTACTTTGAATCAGAGATTAACTGTCATTACATAGGTCTAATACGAAAAATTTCTTTTACCAGAGCCAAAGAGCACTTGTCTCTTCACGAAATATTCGATTTCTGCGTTATAATGTTCAGTGTACGCACCAAGTCGATTGCCTGTGCTTCTTGATTCTGTCCAGTGGACTTTTGCTACACCTCTCATTAGAATTCTGAGAGTTTTCATTTTCATGTCACCACGTAAATCCACAATACATTTGCCATTAACAAGTTCAGATGGATTATAAACAGATTTACCATTGTCAAAGACGATTTCAAAAACTCTTAGTTTTCCCATTGTGCAAATAAATATTATACTTTAATAAAAGATAGCATATTTATAGTAAGTAAAATATTTAAGTCACTAAATATAATAGTATCATGATTCAGAAAGTAATTATATGCCGAAATAACCTTTGGTGAAAAAAAAACAACAACGAAACCTTAACCATGTTTACATTTTATTATCAGTTACGGTTGCATGCTTATTCTATTTTTATCTGATGACGAAATATCTCATTTCTTAAACTTAATTAATAAAAATTTTAACATGATCATAAATTATAAGTGCATATAAACGGAAATATTTCATTTTGATAAACTGCATTTTTAAAAAAAATTAATGATTTTCAAGTGCAGCAACTGAAACTTCTCAACTTAATCTAATTTTAACATCGGGTCGATCGGATTCAAAACACACTGTATTGGTGAAGAAAAACATTATTTAAACAAGGTAAAACCATCTTAATTAATCATAATAATAATTGTACTTTTCTTATGGTTATTCATCTTAAATTGTGCATGAGTTTTATGTTAATCACATTACACAAGTATGTGCATCGACTTTTTGTTTTCTTTTAAGTTTATGAAAGAAATTCGTAATTGATAAGTCATATAAAAGATTGATTTTAATTTGGACAGAATAGTAAGGAAATAATTATTTTCCCTTGTTTGTTAGCTAATCTGATTGCTTATTCTATTATTAATTCTAACTATACAATAGAGTAAATTTTAAAAGCTGGACAAAAGCGACGTAATAGTAACGTAAAATATATTTGCTGCGATGATGCATATGGCTGAGTATGTCATTTCTTTCAAAATTAAATGCATTAAGTGTTTTTTTCGACAAGTCATTCATCTTTTAATTCAAATTATTGTAATTTAATTTCATGGCCTCGAATTAATTTTAATTAAAGTTCAATCTTTAAATCCGTAAATAATACTATTATTTTCATAAGACTAATTTTTCTTAGAAATCATATTGTTTTTATATTACTTTCTGAATTTGTTATCAATTGGAAATTAATATTTTTGGTTCAATTCGTATGTGAAGGGAATTAATTATCGACTATGTCAACCTTCATCTATCAAAAGGTATCTCAAGATAGAATAAAGTTAACATGTCTTATATACTAATGATTCGGTATTTAATATTTATAGTGGTAGATACGCCTAATTGAACAGAGTTTTTCTCTGCTATTTTTACTTAGTTCAGTATATTTTCAGTTAAAGAAGTGTTTTACGAATTTGAAATGTTTTGTTAATTCATAAGACGATTCATGTCTTGCATGAGTTTTAAGACATGAAGCCAGAGCATTTGGTATAAAAAACCTAGTTAACAATTTTCTTCTATCTTTGTTTAGGGAATTAATTTTTTTTTTGCTCCAAAAAATTCTGTAGTTAAAAAAAAAAGTTATATTGTAACTTGATAATATATTAGAACATGTTCCATTAACTTTGTGTTATAGAACTCTATTCTATATCATTTATATTCATTGTTTTGTTAATTATTTTTTAGATTAAATGGCTGTCCATAAAGAAATATGTGTTGGCATGCACAAAGGGCATAAAGTTACCAAGAATGTTCAGAAACCTCGACCATCAAGAAGGAAAGGAGTAAGTTTGCTCAATTTTATTCCATTAGCTTAATAGGGTGTATGTAAATCTTATTATTTCTCAAATCCAATTGATTTCTTAATTGTTTATTCTCATTGTAGGTTATTTGTATAATTGTATTTGGTTTATTTTCATCTGGAATACTTAATAATTGCCATTAGAGATCAAAGGAAATAACAAGGATGAATGTTTTCAGATTTTTGACTGATAAAATTTTTTTAAAGCATACCCTGAGGAGTGGGAGGGTGCGAAATTTTATAAGTAATAAATTATGATGCTATGGCATAAAGAAGAAGTTGTACCTTTGCTATTTCTGTTTAATCAGTATTACTTTAGAAATCAGCTATTCTTTTTATTAAAAATTTATTTTGAAATTTATTTCAGCAACGAAAAACTCAAATTGAAGGGAAAGCCCCAGATAAATTACAGGGTTCCCACGGTCCTTGAGAGTCCATAAATTTTTTTTGCTAAATTTAAGTGCTTGAAAAACGTCTTAGGTCCTTGAATTTGTCCAATACTGCCGACGGCCCTTTTTATAAAACACCTGCGGATCTTTCTGCTTTTTTCTGTTTTGTTCCCGAGCTATCTCACGTGTTTTTTAACGCCACCGTTTCTAACCGGGCCTAGCGTCTTGGTGTCTGCCAAGCACGCTGAGCACAGTAGACAATCAATGCGTTCGGGGTGAGACTCCACTTCGTCTTCTGTCGTATATGCTTAGATCTTCTTTTTTCTTATCGAAACTGGAATACTCTCGAATTTCGTAACAATATGAGCATTTATCACAGAAAGTGTCAATTTAATAGTCTAATTTACACATTTAAAAAAAAATTTATAGGAGAAAGATAATGGTGCATTTCAACTTAAAATTGGATGTTAATACAAGTAAACAACAGGGGCAAGGTGAAGAAAGTCATGTACCCCCTCCCTAGGGGGGTCACTTTTTAAGCTGTTACAGATCTGATGCTTTGCGTTACGGATCTGATGTTGATACATCAGTATTCATTAGAAGTGATATTAAAACTTTTTTATATGTATAAAATGACTTTTATATGTAAAATATTTTTTAAAAAATCAAATTGAATTTTAAAAAATACATTTCTTAAAAAAAAGAAGAAAAAGATTGAGTCATAAAAAAAAAACATGATTGTAAAAACAAAGCAAAATAAACACATTTACTTTATTTCATGATCAATGACTTTTACATTATGAATTTAAAATGTTAATCAATATGTCATCATATTTTTTTTTATTTTGAATAATGAAATGGCGTCTAGAGATCGGTTGTGGTGCATCAGATATTATACACATAATTTCATTTTCAGGAACTGTAAATTTTTCCTCGGGTGATGGCCAATAAAATTTATCTCCAGAACAATGCATAAATGACAGCACAAAACCATCTTCTTGAATTTCTTCTACTGAACCTAGACAAAAGATTTACATATTCATTAATTTAATTAAAGAGCTTTGAATAATTTCACTTAGTTAAAACTTCAATTGAAACTTACCAGGATACCACAAATTGTCATAAATAACAGCTAGCCAATCACCTACAGCTATATTTGTAGATTTCTTTTCAATTTTTTGGTGAAGAACATTTTCTTCAGGAAATGTAAATGTGGCAGGACTTGGTGCAAAATGCTTACAAATTTCATCTCCCATGCAGCTGAAGCAACTGAGTAATCTTAGGGATAAGTCTTTAGGTTTCGTGTGACTCCAAGTAACTTGATGTAATTTCATTGTGTTTGGAATTGGTTCCAATAAAATGTTGACAAAGCTATCTATTTTTTTAATATCTTCCTCTGTAATTTCGAAGATCTTAACTTTCAATTCTTTTTCTCTCAAGACCTTAAGCAGTTCACTGGAGTTTGGTATATCAGATCCACAAGCTACAACATGATCAGCAATATTTTTAATTGATCCACCAACACCATCTGCTGCACCCTTCCCATGCCCAGCTGCCGAGAAATTCCATGTGACCTCCTTAAAAGCAAATGCTGAGGCAAAATAAGTTAGAAGAAAAAAGTTGCATTTGTTTCTGTATTGTGGAGTTGGTCCATCACTTTGAAAGTGTATAGTATCCACACTAGGCAGATATTCCTTTATTAACTTTAATACAGGTTGGAGGTGGGCCCAAATTGCACTTGGATCATGACGGAGGGAGGGTGAAACTGAACAGAAAGATATAACCTGCTCAAGCTTGGATGGATCATAATGACAGTGTTGTACATCATTGTGATACAAAACACCTGTGTGTAATGTAACCTGAGGCTTATTAGAACCAAAGTGCATGGTCTGAATCTCCGATCCAAATTTACAAGCATAATTTTGAGAAAAGTCAATTAAAACGATTACTTCATTTGCATTGAGAGAACCTTTTATTTTTTTGACAGCATTAAACTGATGTCTCATGATAAACACGTGCTTCAAAAAAGGTTCAATTTGAATATTTGCTTTACTGATTAACTCTCCAACTGTGCAGACAATTTTATCTTTAATTGTAATTGTAATTACTTTGTCCTTCCCATTCTTATCTTTTATCTTCTCTCTTTTTTTAACCCACTGGTAATAAAATGTCTCATCTTCTTCCTTTAATGAAGTTCCGATTAAGGTTACCGGGAGAGTCTTGTTTTTACACCTACTACAGTTTCTCTCCATACAGTCCTTGTTTTTTTCATCGCAGCAAACTTTGGTGCATAATTCTTCCGCTTGTCTTTCTTTTATAAGTTGGTGGTAATTTAGTTTCATCGAAAGAAATTCAAAATTTGCATGCTTTGTGCATAAACAAGTATCCCGACTGGTTACCTTTGGTTTGAGTATCCAAAAGGGTTTTAATCTGCAAAAAGTTGAATAGCTAATCTTTGTATTATTTCTTTCCAGAAACATTTTATGCAAATTCTGCATTGTGTTTCTTAGGTATCTCTTTTGGTGTTTTACTTTGTTTCTTGTAATGCAGTCTTTTGCACCAGGTGCCATGCAACTATTTATATCCTCCTCCAAAAACTTGTGCACTGATTGTTGCAGTTTAAGTCGTTCTTTTTGATTTCTGTTGGATCGTTTGAAGTAGACGTTTTTCATTTTTAAACCTTTTCTGAACTCTTGGTAAGATATAATATTTTTCAGATGGCCAATCATTCTATATTTCTTAATAATTTTAAGGGAAATTATATGATTGAACATTCGTCTCTCCTTCTCATTTTGACAGGTTTTTTTCTTTTTATCTGACAGGCCTGACATAAGAGCATAACTTAGAAGTAAATTTTTCCTAATAGCAGGTGAAACTTTCTTTCTACCTACAATCTTCTTCACTTGTTTACGAGGGGAAAGGTCCACATTTTTTTTGTTTTGGAGGCGATAAACTTGTTTCCTTAAAGTTTCAATCTTTTTATCTTTTTTGTTTATTTTAGTTTTCATTGATTGAATATCTCTTCTCATTTTCATATAAGTACGTTTGGCCACTTTTCTCCCAGCTGGTACCCTTGGGGATCCTTTTCTTCCAAGTGTTGTTGATTCTTTTACTATTTCTTCTTTCTTCATAATTTGTTTTCTTCTGTAGTTGCGAGAGTCTTTTTTCCACTGTCTCCGCTTCATCCGCTTCTGTCTATTTGATAATTCATTTATATTTTTGATAACTCCAGCCTCTTTCATTTTTTGTTTGTATTCTCGATCCTTTGCTTTTTTCTCAGCTTTCTTTTCTTCTGTCATTTTTGCTCTGTGTTTTCTAACACGTTCACGACATTTTTTACGTTTTTCATCCATTTCTTTTTCACTAAGCTTCTTTTTTGAGATTTTCTTAGACATCTCCACGACAAAGAGTAAGTTTAAACTTCTCTTGACACTGTAAATAGGAAAATATGTATTTCACACAGCTGCTTAACTTTGAAAAAAAAATCAAAAATTTAAATTAAAAAAAATTTTTAAGAATTTTTTTTTTTTGACAATTACAAAATGTCACTTCAAACCAGTTAATAATGGCAGATTTTTCTTTTCATTGAAAAGGTTTTAAAGATTTTAATATCTGTTAAAATAAAAAAAAAGTTTGGAGGAGGGGGAATAATCAGCCAGGGAGCAGGACAAATTTAGATGATGGGTTTGAAATTTCTGAGCACAATGCAATTTTTTTTTAATAAATTGATCGGAAACGAAATAATAAAATACGATAGTATGTATGCATTGTCTAGTTTAAGAAAAAACATGATTTTAGAGAATAATTTAGACAATGAAATGGATGCAAACGGATTGGAAATTCCTGAATTAAATTTCCGGGAATCGGAAGAAATCGATCAAAAATCGGAGCTGCAGGATAAACCCCAAAATCGAATATGTTCGGTCAAAAAAGGGTTGGAAACAATTCGTCATTCGTACGATTGCGACAAAGCGTAATTTTAGTTTCCTGATGTGTAGTGCGTAGAAATCTCTATAACTACGTAATTTCTACGCCAAATGTGTAGCAGTTGGCGTTCGCGGCCCCGTTAATGCAACATCAATTTGTCTCAGTTTTTTATTACTTTCTTCCTTGCAAGGTATAAAATATGCAAAAAATACAACCTAATAAGCTAATGTTATTAAAATTTATTGCTACGAACAAAAATATTCGTATAAAAAAGTATATCTTTAGAAATTAAAAAAATTTGAGATTTCGGTAACGCTGGCGTCATTTCGGTAACAAATTGGGCATTTTTAAATGTTACCGATCTGACGAATTTGTAAAGTATTCTTCATTTTACATCGGCAATCTGATTCATCCAAAAGTAAAAACACGTTGTTGTTGTTTTGTAATCAAATACTGTGTATATGATATAAAATAACATTTGAAACGATAAAATTTTCGCATCTCAGGGTGCGTTACCGATCTGATCAACGAAAAAGTACGCATGTAATCAAATTACTTTAAAAAAATCTTACCTGTCATTTCAGGAACAGTAACGAAAAATGGCGAATATCTCGGCATCCATCTTGCGTACCTTGTTCCGATCACGTGGTATCTCTGCCGGAAGTAAAGTTTTGAGTCAGAAAATAGCTTTGATATGTTCGTGTTACCGATCTGACAGAGAAACTTGGGACGCACCTGTTTTGCGTCTGTTCGCCAATTACGAGAAGATATTTATAAAAATCGAATAAAATATAAACAGAGCGTTAAAAATGAAATACGTTTTAGTATAACAGTGTTTCAAAACGATATTATAAAATGCACATGATTTGTTTGCATGTTTAAAATCCTTAGGTGGGACATGTTACCGATCTGATATTTGAAACTTTAAAATTTTTTTCTTGTGAGTAAAAAATGATTAAATTAAATGTTTTTTGATGAATTAAGTGCAAAATCATGACTATTTTTTGGAAAAAAATGTTTAGGGGTTTTATTTATCAAAAAAGTAGTGAAATTTAATTTTGGACATAAATTGACACTTTTCATGAGAAATGCTCATATACACCTTGTAGTTTTCAATAAATTTGCCGTTTTACCATCCGCACTTTCCTTGCGTTTGCGTCATTTCAAAACTTTATTGTAGAGTGTATTCGCAAAGGCACAACTTCTTATTTGTGTTATGTAGTTTAGGCTAGCTATGCCTGGGAAGTGCTATTTTAATCCCCGATGGATGGATAATCAAGCTTATAAAGAATGGATTTTATCGATGCCCGAAAAGAAGTTCAGAGCCAAGTGCCGATTATGCATGAAGGAGATCGATATCGCGAAAATGGAAGAATCTGCTCTGAAATCACACATGAAAGAAAGGTAAAACAAAAAAGCAGTCTCATGCCCTGAGTTCTCTTTTTCTAAAGACATCAACATCTAATTCATCTGGTGTAAATACTCCTTCAACATCATGTGCCCCATGTGAAACAGAAACTTTAGTGACCGAGGTAACATTGTCTTATCTGGTCAAAAGGAATGTGCTTGATGCTGAAATTCTCTGGAGTCTGAAGTGCATCACTAGTAATTATTCATGTTACTCCTGTGAAGGGATTAGTAAATTGTTCTCCAAAATGTTTGCTGATAGCTGTATAGCGAGACAATTTTTTTGTAGTGCCACAAAGTGAGCCTATTTGGGCTCCTTTGGATTGGCACTATACTTCAAAGGGATTCTTATAAATGAGCTGAAGAATGTTGATTGCTACACTGTACTCTTTGAGACGTTAAATTAGTCTCTACAATCTAGGCAGATGAACATTATGGTAAGGAATTGATAATAAAGTTTGCACTAAGTATCTTACCTCCCAATTTATGGGTCATGGAACTGCAGAAAATATTTGGTCCTCTTTTTACAAATGCATGGATGATGGTTAAAAGCTCTCTAAAATACTTCAATTATCCATGGATGGACGGACCCTATGTCAATTGGAAATTCTATTAGAAGCTTCAGTGTGAATTTAAAGAGAAATATTCCCACCAGGTCATATTCATTGGCAGTTGTGGATTACACATAACGAATAATGCTTTTAAACATGGTGAAAATGGGATATGTTCCTTCTAATTTTTATTTTCAGAAAGAATTGTTGCTGCGCACACTACATTTACATGACACATTACATTTACATTTGTTCACATTTAGAGAAGGTTGTGTAAATTATGGATGAATAATTTCAGAAACTATGTTTAATAGAGGAGAGGAGGGGGTTATGGAATATGGAATACCTAAGATTTAGCTCTGTCTTTCATGCAGCCTTCACATGGAAATACACAGGATTAAAGGATTTCACCATTAACACCTCATTACCATTAGTCATGGATTGTGCTGAAAATGATTTTGTGAATTAATATGTAAAACCAGTAGGGTTGTTTTTAAAAAAATATAAATTTTAGTCCATAATACATATACTCTCTTCTCTCTATGTAGGCAAAGCATTTAGGCAGTGTTTTCATCATAGAAAAAAAAATGGGTGCGAATTTCTCACCCTTTCTCAAAAACAGGGTGAGATTTCAAAAAGTTAAGTGAGATTTCTAAAAACTAAAAAAACACAAAAACTCTTGAAAAAATAATCATTTCTTTAATTATAATACATTTTTAACGTCTTCTATTTTTTAAAGCATTGAATATTTTTGGTGCATCATCATGGAAGATTTTGCCTTTACAAGGTATTTTTCCATCTTAAAGTGCATAAAAAATTTGAACGTCTTACATGAAGAAACGTTACCTACGGTAAACATGTGGTTGTAGAGAAATGTGTTCTGAAAGGGGTTCCGTGGTTGTGTTCTGTTGTTCGAAAAGTTTCTGAACAATACTGGTAAATAGGGAGGCTAGATAATGGGGCAGATGTTCAAAATAATGAAAGATCCAGGAAGAAAAGGGAAACTGATTTTATTCTAAATGGCGTAATTCGAAGCTTTTTCCAAAATGCGAGAAATTTGCGAATTTTGAAATTGATTTATAGAATGCGCGAAATTCTCGCGGTAATCATTTTTTAATATGAGAAAAGAAAAAAATATGCGAGGTTCTCGCGCTGTAGTGAAAACACTGCATTTAGGTATTATATTTGAAATTAATTATTGCCACAACAAGCATTGTTGCTTCTAGTAAAATAGAAAAGAATAATTTTTAAAATTGATCTTAGATTAAGGTCCTGGAAAATTTTGTTGAGGTCCTTGAAAAGTCCCGGAAAGTCCTTGAATTTCAATCTCATCATAGAGTGGGAACCCTGAATTAGGTTTTAATTAATTTGCTTTTTATATTCATATTGAATGGCAAGATATTTTTTATTTAATATGTTATAACTTTTTTTCTTAAGCAATTATACTGATTAAAAAGAAAAGCCTTTATTATATAATAAATTTTTTGCAGAAAAAGTTGTTTTTCTTCATTTAGCATGTTAAGTGTTCAAAATATGTTAAAAAAGTAGAGACTTAAAAAAAATTAATCTAGAAATGTTAGTACACTTATTTCAAAGAACAAATTGGTTATTTTAATTATTAGATTTGCATTGTTATCACCTTGATACTGTATTTTAATATTTATTGATATTAATGATTGAAACTAATTCAAATTATGGCTGACTTATGTTTTGTCATCACTTAATTTGTATTATCTTTTTTTAGAAATTAACTAAGCATACAAGGTTTATCAGAGACATTGTCCGTGAAGTATGTGGATTTGCACCTTATGAAAAGAGAGCTATGGAGCTTTTAAGAGTTTCAAAGGATAAGAGAGCTCTTAAATTTTTGAAGAAGAGGGTATATTTATTTTTTCATAATTTGGTTTTCTCAGAAGTGGCACAAGTTTTTTTTACCAAAAAATTTAAACCTGTTCTTAAAAAGTCCTGATTAATCCTTTTAGATGAACTTGCACTTATTGTATAATATTAATATTTGTAAGAATACATCTTAAGAATTATGGTATAAATTTTAAATAATTGAATTTTTAAAGTAAAGTTTAGCTGTTTTTAAAGTTTAGCTGTGAATTCCTAATTCATATGTATATTTTATTGATAATATTTAATGGCACATAAAAGGTCGTTCAAATTAAGAGTAAGATATGTAGTGTGCTCATTTTTTAATAAATTTTCTGTATTCACCGTGGTAAAGCATACAGTTTGTTAAAATTCGAGTAAGATTAGTTATCTTCATGTATATTGGTCTCCATATAGTGTTTTCACGTGTATAATGATTATTTATATATAATTGTATAGATGTTTTCTTTAAAAACAAAATTTGTACACATACTTAGATAAAATGAAACACTTACTGCAAATACAAAATATCAATTAAACAACTGCACACATTAACTCCTGCAGCTAGTTTCAGCTCTTTCGTTCCCAGAATCAGATTTTTATAAAAAAAAATATCTAAACTTTATTTAACTCAATTGATTCACCCCACAGGGAGAAAATTTGAGTTTGGTTGAAAAAAAAACACCATAACAGCTGAAAATAAAAGTTCAAAAATGTGATGCCAAAAAATGCTTTTAAAATAATAGAAAAGATGCCTTTAATTTAAGGTATAGTGCGCGATTTTATCTAATTAAATTGTGTGATAGTGAAACTCTGCATGATTAAATCACTCGAATAAAAATCTAAGTTTAATTTTAAAATAAAATTTCATTAATATGAATCTCAATATTTGATTTTATTTTTATTAATATTAAATCATTATTAATATTTGATTGATATTAAGGAAGTTACCACGATGGAGATAAGTTTACTGCGATCAGTGTCCCTGTATATTGTACGGGTTTGGTTGAATACTAGTTTAAACATTTTGGTTCCAATTACTATTGCCACTTCTGTAAATGTGTCTAAATCTCAGATTTGTTATGTATTATGAGTGTAAGAACCATATAATTCTGACAAAAATGTTAAGCTTCAATATTCATTGTATTCACGTTTCCAAATTAATTAACTTTGTTTTAATCATTTCATTAAAGATATACTGAACCAAGTAACTAATTTTATTAAAAATTTATTAGGGGCTATTCACCAATTTTCATTTGTAATTTTAATTTATTAAAGTTTTCTCAGTTTGCTTCATTCGCATTTTTATAAATTCGATATCAATAATATTAATCTTGTTAATGTTATGTTGAATATTCTTGTATAAAAAACTTTTATTTAAATTTTTTTAAAATACACTCGTTAAGCCTTTCAAATAAAAGTTAAATTAGAATTTTGAGTGAAATTTTTTTTACAGAATTAAAGTGATTATTAATTTAGAAAATAGTATGAGCCGCACTCATATTGAATATGTTGTAAATTGTATATAAATTGCTTTTATGGTGGCTAATATTACCAAGAGGAAGAGATCTTCGTTAGAAACAGGTTATTTTTTATGATCATATAGTCTTTGAAAATAATTATAAAATTTTATTTATATATATTATTTAAAGAGCTTAATATTTTCTGAGTGCTTAAAAGGTGCTTATTTTTTGTTGAATTTGGCTTTTCATCCTTTATTTTGATAACATGTATATATAATATGTATGTTAAGATCTAAAGTTTTAATTAGTTTCCTTTACCCTATGTCGTTCGTGTGGGATATTTCCCACATTGATCAAAACTTATCTATGCTTGAATTTATTTGTTGAAATGCCTATGTATTTAATGGTGTTGGTTCATAGTTATCAGGATAACTATGAACTTTTTAACTATTTAATGCTAGAAGGCTGTTCATTTTAAAAAGATGGTTTGTTTCATTCAAAATTAATAAAACACTTTAGTTAAAAATATTAAATTACAATTAGACTGAATTGCAATTTTAAACAGTCTTGAAATTGACAGTTTGTATTTTAAAACCTCTAATAGAGAAATCATTTAGCCTAACAGCAGGACAGTTAGAAACACTTAAAAAAAGAAATTACTGACTAGGTTAATATATATTTTAAAATGCAGTTTTTTATTACATTTATATTCGGAATACTTGTCAAGTTTTGTAGGGCATATGACTTTTCCTGAAACTGCGAATATATGTCTGATAGTCCCTGATTTCTTAGCTCTTTTTACTATTATGCAAAGATTTATGTTACCTTGTCTTTTTTAATTGTTTTGATGTTATATACATTGCATGAGAATTAAGTTGGTTCAGTGTTGCATACAAATGCTTTTAGCTTTTGTATGTGATGTTATGATGCCAGTGAGTCACCTTATGCTAGAGAAAAGCAATACTGATTGCTATAAGACATGCATTTTTGTTGATACAATATATGTGTCTTTATATAGCACACATTTGTTTCTGTTAAATTAGTTAGCTATGTTAATCAAGAATAATGCTTTCTGAAACTTTTCTAACTGCTTTGTGAAAAATTGAAAAATGTCTAAAATATCCACCTGTATTTATTACATTGGCATACCTGCAAAACCTCCTGTTTTTTTTTTTTTTTTTAAAAAAAAAGACCCATTATCTCCTGTTTATCTGTATAATCTCAAATTTCTCCGTTTTTGTTGAAGAAATTTAAAAAAAATACAAATTTTCACCTTAGAATATCCATTGATAGCAAAAAGACTTCTTTTTCCTCAACTGATAGTGCTATTACATACCTGCCAACTTTTAATTCCTTCAATTATGATTTTTCCCAGTGGTATTAAAACGGAATTAAAATTTCAATTTTAAGCAACGAAATACGTTGTAATTGAAAAAACTTGAGCTGAAATCATTGAAAGTTACGCATAATAATATATATGTGTAAGTTTTTTAAAAATAGTGGTGATCAAAATTATTTGAAAACTAAGTTTATAAAAGAAAAAATAGCATATATTTACTATCACTTTAAATGTAAAAATAAAATTTTACACCAAATGCGTAAAAGTTGGCAGGTATGCTATTACCAGTACTGCAGTATTCTAATAGTTTAAATAATTATAAATAATGGTTTTAAAAAATCTTCAGATTAAAATTTGTTTACATACTTTTGATTTCGATTAATGTAAGTGCTTATATTTCCAATTTTAAATTTCTCTTTGAATTACATAATTATGCATGATGTATCGAAACTAGTCCTAGCCTAAAGAATGTCACTATTAAAATATCCGTTATTTTATTTCTTCAATACTGGTAGGTATGCATTGGCATTGTATAGCTTAGGTTGTTAAACAGAGAAGCAAATTAAAGGTTTTTGGGTAGAAAAGAGGGGAAACAGACTTTTTTTTTTCAATTTGGTAAAATATAAGTAGTGAAATAAATTTTTAGACAAACCCGAAATAACGGAGGTTTCCTGGAAGTATTTTAGCTAAGTTAATTTCTGTAATAAAGTGAGTTAGGTAAAATTAATTATGTTAGCATGCTCTAAAAAGATTTTTTTTTTTTAAGACTGTTTTAATAACGTTGTTGCTAAACATTGTTTCATCCCATCTTTATGTTTTTCCTCTACTAGAACTCTCATTTCTGTCCTGTAGATAAGCTTTTGACTTTCCTTATTCTAAACAGTTTTGTCTGAGCTGATACGAATATTAGTACAAACATTATAATAAATACTTCTAGAGAGAAAAGCAGGGAATTTTTTCCACTCCCTCCACTTAAAAAATTATCCAACAGGAAATAATTCTTTGAACAATCTGAACTTAACAATAGTAACATTCTTAACATGTCTTCAAACTTTTGCAAGTTCTTAATTGTCGTTAATTCTGTAAATGTTATGGATAAAATTTTCAATCCAATTATTAATAATTTTGTAGTTACGCGTTGTGAGAAAACCTTTATATATTAAAATGAAAACTTATCGTTAGAAGTCCCTAAATGCATGTTTAATATTTGCATAACTTTTTTCCTAAATTAAGATTTTTTGATGATTTACGGTTTTATTGTTATTTTTTAAAAAATGGATTGTCTTGTCTTTCATTTTACCTCTAAAAATTAAAAAAAAAAATTAGATCGCCTTTATTAGGCCTAAAGTTTCATTCTTTAATTCAAAAATTTTTAAGTTATGAATTAATTTTAAACGCGTATATATATTTAGTACCCAAGTTGAAAATATGTTAAAGAACGTTGAAAAAAAATGTGGAGTAAAATAAAAAATATTTTATGTATGAAATGTGACAGGTCTCCCCAGAAGGTCTATATGAAGTGAGACATTTAGGTCCGCCGTAGTTAGAAATAAAAATATGTTCATTTCCAGCGCATCTATAGTAGACTTTTTATCAAATGTTGGATTCTGGAAGAGGAAGACCTAAGCTTTTTATTTCCAACTTGAAGACCTAATTTGTTTTTATATTTGCTTTTGGAAAACAGGTTTAAATTTTTGACCCATTAAAATGAAGCATTTTAAATTTTGAATTGTTAAAAAATGTTAATTTTCATGTATATTAAATAAATAATTTTTTCTTTCTTTCAGTTGGGCACCCATTTGAGAGGTAAGAGGAAGCGTGATGAATTGTCCAATGTATTGACTGCCCAAAGAAAGGCTGCAGCTCACAGAGAAAAGGAAGGAAAATAAATGTACAGTTTTAAAATAAATAGTTAAAAAAAACATATAATTTTTTCTTTTTGACTTAATTCTTACCAGAAATAGCATATATCATGCTTTTTACATGCAAGCAGGTCTGGCAACTTATTGCTGTCCTGTACAATGCCATTTTTTTTTTTTTTTTTTTNTTTTTTTTTTTTTTTTTTTTTTTTTTTTTTTTTTTTTTTTTTTTTTTTTTGTAGTTACCAATTCCACTCAGCTTAAATCCAAAATTGCTAATGCAGAAATGTGGTATTCCTTAATTTTAGTATATTTTATATTAACTTGTTAAAGACAATATATATATATATTTTTTAATCCTCTGAGACCATCTAGTTTTAAATTGCGTTTGCGCAAATGCTTTTAATGATATCAAAGGGGGAAATCCCAAGTTTACAATTAAAACTTTGCTTTTTCTTTAGGCTCTCTGTAGTTCTGGGGATTGAAATCAGTATGGAAAAAAAAAAAAAAATTCTGCACTAAATACCATCAATTAATGTCATCTTTTCCAATTGTTTTTTAAATTAAATTTTCTTTCCTGAAAAACTTAAGAAATATTTTCTGTTGAAAATAAATAAGTTTTGATAAAATATCATTTGAACTTGTTGAATATAAATCTAATTTAGTTAATAGTTTACACTTTCCCTACGCTCTGAAAAGCTATCCAAAATTAAATTAGTTATTTTTTTAAAAAAGAAAAATTTATAGAGCTAGGACAAAAAGTAATGGTGAAAAAAAATTTAGAAATGAATGGCTTAAGAGAAAATTTAGTGGTTTATATAAGTTATTTCTTTTTTTTACTCTGTCAAAAATAAATTAAAATAGAGAAAAATGTTATTTTTTTTCCAGAAAAATTGTCTTGAAATTTTTTAGAGTTGCACCTATGCTTGCAAGTTTTCTAAATAAAATTAATTTAAAAAAAATACAATGTGAGCAAATCTTGCAATGTTTTGCAAAATTTGTCCACATTATCAAACATATTCATTTATTAACGATTTTTTTTTTTTTTTTAAAAATAGTTTGCAGTGACATTGATGTTATTTCTGGAGCTGTTCGTACATTTTGTTAAGGAAAAATTTAACATTTTAAAATAACTATTGTAATTGATTGAGCTTGACTGGGAGAAAGAAATATGATTTTAATCCTTTTTTAACTAAATTTACATTAAATTATTGTGGATATTTTCAGTATTTGATAGTAACCTTCAAAGCATAAAATACGCTGTTGCCTAACGAAAATGGATGTAAAGGGTGCTGCAATTTACTGACAAAATGAAACAAGTACAACTCTGTAAGCAAATTTTGAAACGTATTTAAATAGTTTGTCTTAGGGTTTTTGATAAATATCTTTCCTTTTTTTGTGCAGTTTACGGTATAAGAATTCGTATCAACCCTGTTTATTAAGGGCCTAATTAGCCTGACTGTTTGGGCTCATGTACGAGAGGTAAGTTCAAGCCACCCACTTTTATAAAATGGTGACTAGTGTAGTTTAAATCTGTCGGGTTCGAGTCCTCCAAGTTGGGGTACCAGGGATTGATCCTTCTCTGGATCAGGTCCAAATTACGATCTGGGGGTGGATAAATGAGTTCTCCCTGCGAAACGTGATGTGACGCATGTGTGGTCAAGTCATTCTTGGCCATAGATAGCGGCCTTCTGTCTTAAATTAGCTTTGTTCTACCTTATACAGGGTGCGTAGCGTTTGTAAAAAGTACTTAAAGGTGCTTTTTGGGAGATTTCGTTTTTAAAAGCTTTTAAAGGTGCTTTTTTCAGCTGGCGTTTTTAAAAAGTGCTTTTATCACGAATAATTTTTTTTTTCCTTCAGTGATATCTGGCGGATCCCCTGCATTTCACGAAAAATGGGGTGTTTGCTACGTAATCATTCACACTAACACTTTTTTGATGTAGGGGGTAAGGGTACTTTTGTTCAGAGTCAAGTTGAATTCACTCGGTGATGTGGGGAAGTACTGATTGTTTTGATTTACGTCCGTTTCTTTTTTAGTTTTTTTTTTTAATGCTAAAACTGTTCATAAAAAGTTTTTGTTTTTCAATAATATCATTGATTCAATATGAATTTTTTGAGTGCTTGAAAAGTTTTTAAAAAGTGCTTATTTTTGATTCAAAGATTTGGCTACGCACCCTGTTATATTAGTCGCTGGTTCTACCGAAGCAATGCTTGCCGATTTGACAAGTAGCATCTTTAACAGCAAATTGGTTTTCATCAGTTTGAACTTATACATACAATTAAATTTAAAAAATTCTACTTTGAATTAAATGTTAAATTTTAACCTCTGGCGTTTCGAGTAATCAGTAAATAGTTATTATATAATTATAAACTCAAGAAAGAAAGACATACCTGTAAATTTCAATTACTTCTCCAGGTCATAATAGGTATGTGTAAAATTTTAAGTAAACTATATTGAGAAAGAGGAAAAAACCCTTGTTAAAATTTTTTTTTCAATTTAAACTTTTTTTTTTAAACTCACGAAATTTTCCGGAATTTTGACTTGGGCTCATAATTACCCCTGGATACAGAAAGAATTCCCTTTTTTCAGTCCTGATTCGAACTTTTTACTTGTATGTTGTTGCAAACCTTTTTTACAATCATAGATTAGTGTTGGCATATTGTTCCAGCAGCAAGATAAAGTTCATTTTACAAATCATTTAGGTTTAAATTTCGAAGTTAGTATATTGTTGACAAGGTAGGAAATGTTTTATAACTATTCTTTTTTTCAAATTACGATTCTTATGTTTTGAAATGACAGGTCGTCAATTCAAGATTCTTATAACGATTCTTTTTGTTAAATACAAATAATAAATCGGGTAACGAATCCACGTATACAAGAAATTCTACCCGCGCAAAATACACAGGAAGCAGTAACCCAGAAATATAGGCAGTGCATCCTAGTGTAAAAAGCACCACCCATTAAAACAGTGGTGTCAAGCTCAAAAGCTAACTTGGGCCAAATAAACAATGCTTAACTTTAGGCGGGCCGCAAAAAAAATCTATGTTCATAGGAACAAATATTTTTATTTAGAATAGTACATTGTAATAAGCATATAGTAGTATAAAGTTAAATTATTGTTTGAGTCCTGATACTTGGCATCTCTTCTCTGCTACTATCTTTCCTATTTCGGGAGAAATTTTATTCAAAATTGACCCAACGTGAGCGTTATTAATACGGTTTCGGACAGGAGATTTATTTCCACAGAAAATAATTGCTCGCACTGATAAGTACTTCCAAACATGGAAATAATTTCATATGCGAATTTTCGAGTATTTTCAAACCTTGCCTGTAAATATTTGTACATCCACTTTAATGAATATTAACTCTTTAATGTCTTGAATATTAGCTTACCAAGCAGAGAATAGCTGCACAAATCAATAAGCAATAATCATAACCCCTAGTAAGATAACGTATGTATAACTACATCTTATTAGGTAAGGTGTGACAGCTGATGCGTAGCAGTTTGCTGCTGATAGCTTAGTGTAAAACGGACTCCATTTCAGTCAATTAGAATTTAAAAGTTTCGCGCGTACAATTTAAAATGATCCGTATAGTTTATAAATAAAGTATATTATAATTTTATTTGCTGGTTTCGTTTCTAATTCGCATTTCTATTTTACTTTTCACCGTTATATTGACTGGGCCGCGAGTTTGACATCCCTGCATTAAAACATGCTCGCCAAACAAACACACACACACAAAAAAAGAATTGCGAATTTTTTTTTTCGAAATGTATTTTGAGTTTATTTTGAAGAAATGATTTCAGAGACTTGCATTAATTCTGTTATTGCTTATATATATTCATTCTTGCAAGATTCATAAAAAAAGCGCATGTAATTCTTTTTATAATTTTTTAAAAATAGCCCGGGTGTGGTCTTCAAGTTTGGCAAGAAATGTGCTTTAACACAAACCTTTCCTTTAATCTTTATGCTATGAATAGTTAAGAGAATGAACGTTTTCCTAATGAAAGCGACGATAGCTATATTATTACAAAATCTTTTTTTCTTTATTTGATAGTTTTTGGAATGAAACAATTTTCTCCATGAATACTAGTTTTCCCCTAGGGACCATTTATAAATAAAGTCACTTTAAAAAAAAATTGACCCCTTTGTCACATGTGTTGCACTATATTAAACATATACCAGCAGTTCATAATCATAACACTTGCATAGATCACATTTCAAATTTTATTTTTATTAACTATGTATTTCAATGATATCTATGATTCAATACTAATTAATTTTGTTGAAAAATAAGAAACATAAAAATAGCTAATTTTTCAAAAATGTTTAATGTGCTCACTTAAAATGAACGTTAACCAAATTTACTTCTTGGTGTCTCCTCTCTCACCCTAGACATGAATTGTCACAGTTTTAAGAACCCTTTCCCGCTCTCTCAATCGTGACATCATTTATGAACGGCCCCTTGAGATTATTACAAATAAAAGAATTGCTTGGAAATGGTTACAACTGTTAAGGGGGGGGGGGGCATTTGAAAAAAATTTGTCTTAGGTGCTGCTCGATATTCGGGTGTGGCAAGTTTCTAAACTTAGCTATTTTTAAATTTATAACCAAAGTTAGTGTATTGTTCTATGAGGGAAGAAAAAATATTTTTGTTCTGAGCAGTTGGAAATATTATGTGCTAATACCGTGTTATCCTTAGCTGTTATACACAGAGTATGTGTGTGTAATATATGTTTTATAATGTAAAATTCATGATGAAATAAAAATATTAAGGGGACCGGAAAGTTATACCGTTGCGGCGCATCAAATATTCGTTAATCTTAAAAACCAATTCATTTTTTTCGACCCGGCATTCAAAGGTTGTTGCTAATGGGCGTGAATACATTATTGATTAAAAATAAAATCTTTGTAACAAATATCAAATGCACCGAAGCGATATTAATTTCAGGTCCACCTAATAATATTAAAAAGAACAACATAAAAGAGATATCTGCATTATTTCTATAGTGTTTGCAAATTACACTAAACTTCAATTTTCGAGAGACATAATTGTAGGATTCTATTTCTTTGAGGTTTCG